CCCCCCGCTGCATCCCTTTTTCGATAGTTCCGAACTAGTCCTAAATTCTATAGTTCCGAACCAGTTCTAAAATCGACAGACGAAAGAAAAAAGTATCATGATTTTTCAATATTTTCGGTTCTTCCGTGTGTGATTTTACATTATTTTCAAAGAAACATTTTTTCAAATTTGAAATTAAATTTGTTTGAATGATTGTAAGAAATGTACGTTTACATACCTTTGGCTGTAGCTGACTTTGCAGAGGTGCTCGCTGTTATTGGTTAGATTCCAGTAGGCCCCAAGATGTTAATATGTTAACATAAAGCTTTGTTTGTATTACCAAACTATGAAATAGCATCTGCGAAGCACAGAATAGAAGCGTATTTGAACGAAAAAGCCGCCAAGCACATATCTATGAAGAGTAAAAAAGCCCACCGCTGCATCCCTTATTCGATAGTTCCGAAATAGTTCTAAATTCGACAAATAGGATCCAGTTCGTTCTGCATCCCTTTTTCTATAGTTCCGAACCATTTCTAAATTCGTCACTTTAGATATAGATTTCTAGTGAAAAAAAACTGAAAAAATTAGTTTCTTAAAAGTACCACTTTTCGCCGATTTTGTACTGGTGGGGATCTAGTTCCTATCGGACTAGTTCCTTTTTGGCGATAAAGACCTAGTACGGAACTAGAAATTTGATTCACTAGTCCGCGGTTTCCCTGCAGGGTATATGTACATGTTTATCCGTACAAATCGCGTGCTGTTGAGTTGATGGATATTCAACATTTGAAAGCAAATTTATATACATATCTAGGTGTAGCTGAGTGCGCAAAGATGCTTGCCACAAGTTGTTGATATCCGGAGATGGTCGGGTTCGAATTCCACTGCAGGCAACATGCAAATAAAATTTTTTTTTTTAGTTTTTGTCTTGATTATTCACTTCACGGATGCCTTTTCAGTACGAACGCGGTCATTTTAATATGCGCGTAATTGAATTGAATATTTACCAATATACAGTACCTACTTTCGTTGACGTTTATAGTAAGATCAATTACGTTTCTATTTGATTTTAATATTTTCCCTCAGTGTAAAACTTAACAGTTTGGCAATGTTAAACACTGTTGAAGCTAATTTCCGGTATTTCTCTTTCTAGCGCCTGAATAATAATAATAATAATAGATTGGCGCTTACACATATGTTAGTGTTTGGCCGAGCTTCTCCTCCGCTTTGTGGCGTGCGCCTTGATGTTGTCACCCAAAGAGGAGCCTGAGTCTGGAACTATACTTATTATTTACTACCGCCGGCAGCTTTAACAAATTTATGGCGTTTTTACGTTCTTTGGCAAATTACGCTCTGTTAGCCATACATTTTACTATGTTTTCATTTTTCGGGATGACCAAGTTAAATAAAAGCTTGTAAAAAGATCAAATCAGCTTCTCCAATACTCCTACCTGTTTTAAATCTCTTAAATGTAAGCCGAATACTTGGATATTTGGCAGGACAAATATTCCACTAGAAGTTTATTGAACTACATATAACTTTTGATCGAACATATATGCCCTTGCTTTATGAATCTTTATTTGTCTGTCCGTTGAAAATATGCGCGAAACTTCCCACAAAAGTTTGTTGAGACCTACGTACCATACCATAGGTACATATTAGGTTGCCCATCGAAAATGCTTTTCTTTTGAAATTTCAACACCCTACCCCGTAATTTTATTCGTTTTTATGAGAAATATTATTGCCTCTATTAATAGATTTTTCCTAAAGAGCGATTGTATATATCAATTTTAAATAAATTAAATACTCATAAATCTACAAAATCCTAGTTCCTGACCTAAATCGACATCTCGCGACCTCTAAATGATCTTAGGCAATAATATTTCTCATAAAACCGAATAAAAGTAGGGGTAGCGTCTAGAAGTTTCCAAAAAAAGCATTTTCGGTGGACACCCCAGTAAATATGTATTACCAGAAAACGGGTTTAATCCTTTTCATTACGCTAAGAGATACCTATAAAAGGAAAACTACATTTATCATGAGTCTGATTCCCGTGATCACGGATATTAACATTTTATTAATCTAGCTGAAGTTAGCATCTGATTTCATAGTTTCAACGCTAGAGCCGATGTAAGCTCTCTTAAGGTATACCTAATTTAAGAAAACTTCTGCATAACCATCGTTATAAATAGCCATTAGCTGAAAAGTTGTCACCAGCTAACGTAACCGTTTCCTCGCCACCGCATCCTCAAACTCCGTCAAATCCTGTCGGAAAATATCCCTTTATTTGCTGCTTTAATTGATCAAAAACCGCCTGAATAACCTCCAGCTGCCATCTAGTGGGGTCCTTCTCTTTTTCAACTGAGCATGACGGTATTTTTAGGGAGTTTCGAACCTGGAATGAAGCAAGATTTCAATAATGATTCTTCTTTTTACTCTACTCCTGCTATATCCGGCCTGTCTTTGGCCTGGGTTAACCTTACGCCATCACACTCGTTGGCCCTGTAGTATATATATTTGGTATTGGCTGTGCTTTTTCCTTGGTTGAGAGTTTTGTATTAGCAGCATAAGCGCGCTACAACTGAGATGGTCGCTGATGACTACTTGGGTGGCATGAATTTTAAAGCTGGACATCTCTAGATTGCAAAATCTAAAAACAATTTTAACACCTCAATTTAAGAAATGCATTTTTGATTGCATTGTTTTTATTTGCATGCAGCTGTGCATCCTTCTTACAATTTTATATCACTCGAATAACAAGTACGCTGTAATGCTATTCAATATCTTTAATTTGAGCCATGGTGGAAATCTTTAGGCCCTCTGAGAGCCAGGTTATAACAATTTTAAACCAAACTTCGAATCTGCTCTCTGAAATTAGAAGAAAAGCATTTTCTACTCAGAAATTAGAAGAAAAAAATACAAAAATTGCTAATGATATTTCGAAGTGTAACTTCAGAATCGTTACAACTTGACAGAACAATATCTGTTCCACAACTTTTTTAATCAAAGAAAATTCTAGAAATTGCCTCGCCCATTTCTATGGGTTTGTCGCCTTAAAGAAAAATCTTGCCGTACAAATATTATATCTGAATAGGTATTCTATCGGAATCCGCAATAACATTTTACTTTTTGCAAAAACCCGATGTTTAACACCTTAGCAAATATATGTCAACATAAGTTTTCGAAAATAAGTTCCAAAAAATTCTTGATTCTCACAAAATAAACCATCTCGTCATAAAGAAAAATATTTTAAAAATAGTTCTTGAAAAACGCCAACTTTTTTTAACCACGTTTTATTTATAGAGAATTAAACTAGAATTACGATGCTATAATTTTAGACACCGGGAAATATATACATTACAGCACAGGACATGTACACTAACAAATTTTATCGAGAACTGAGCTATAAATACATACATATATATCCATTTCAGATCGACGTTCAGAAGATTATTTAATGGTACATCCGATGGAATTGTGTCTTGCTATTAGCGCATACTATATATTTGTAAAACATCTGGGTCCTAAATTAATGGAAAATCGCAAAGCGTTCGAACTGAAAAGTATTATTTTAGCCTACAATGCCGCGCAAGTGATTTTCAATAGCACTCTATTTATACTGGTATTTAGTATTAAAAAATGTCTGAAAATAAACAAACCCATTTTACTAATATCTTTCATCGATTTTGCACAGGTCTGCTACTACATTAAACTTTATAAACCTTATCAACGCCTGAGTTGCATGATGCCAGTGATGGATCGCACAAAAGAAGGCATGCTGGAGCTGAACTTTTCCTACGCCTACTACCTGTTGAAATATGTTGATTTTGCCGACACCATCTTCTTTGTGCTGCGCAAAAGTTACAATCAAGTGAGCTTCTTGCACGTCTACCACCATATCATGATCAACGTATCTTGCTTCGTTTACTTACGTTACTTGCCCGGTGGACACGGTGCGGTGTTAGGCTTCCTTAATTTAAATGTGCACAGTATGATGTATTTCTATTATTTCATATCTGCGATACGACCGAAATTAAAGCAATCAATATGGTGGAAGAAGTACATTACTCAGGCACAATTACTTCAATTTCTAATTCTGTTGTTACATTTTACTCGGGCTCTTTTTGATGCGGAGTGCGAATATCCAAAAGTGGCTATACTTTTCGCGATACTTCAAGCGGTGGTGATGTTGGCGCTGTTTTCGGATTTCTACTATAAAACATATGTGCGCTCAAATAAAGGGGCAGCAGCAGTAAAAATAAACGATAAAAATCTAACAGCATGCAATGGAAGAAAAATTGAGAACAAATCTATGTGAAACAGAAACAGAGAAGAAAATAAATTTACGAAACTTGTTTTATTTCATATAAGTAAGTTCAGTAGAGTATCTGGTATGAACACGTTTTACCATCACTAAAAAATTGGGTGAGTTGATTGGGGAGAGGTAAGACAAAATGCTGCTGTAGAGGTTATAATAAGTAAGTACAATTAACAATATTGTTTTTGAATACCCATGGAGAAAAAGCGCCTATGCTTTGTTCATATATGGAAATTAAGTGTTTTTGGAAACACTGGATCACAAATTTTAGTTTGATTTTTGTTCTCCAGATGCCACTATCCAATGTCTTTGTAGAATTTGTCGCTGATTCCGAAAATCTGGTTAATTTTTCTTTCTATGGATACGTTTTCAAGGTATTTGCAATTTACCGTTATTCAGGGTTGCCTTACCACTAGGACTGCTCAATGTGCTATCCTCTCGGAGAGCGCGGTACTAAACTTCACTTAGTATTAAACGTTTTGTAACAAGCGTTTAGGTTTTTTGATATCTGTAGGCGTTTTTTTTCAAATCTTAATTTTTCGAATAAAGCGGACTTTTTATCGAACAAACCGGTGTTTTTCATTTCATATAAATTTTGACCTCTCAATAAAAATTTTGAGTACTTCTAAGTATTCAAGGCTTTTTCCAGTTTAAGGGCAAGCTCCGAAACAGTTTTAAAATTATATCCTAGGTTATTTCGGTATGAACAATATATCATAATTGATTCCAATAAATGAATGCTTGGCGCTGAAACGTTTTCTACGTATTTGGCCGAGCTTGTCCTCCGATCCGTGTTCTGCGTCTTGATCACAAAAACAAAATTCCAATGCCAAAGTAAGATAAACCAGTTTATATATATAGATATTAAAAAAAAATTTAGTTGAGAAAAAGATACATAAAAATTGAAATTTTACTGTTTTTTCAGAAGCGCCATTTTGGCACTTTGTCCCAAATTGAAAAAGTAATTGCCAATTGTAGCAATACAGGGCCAAAAATGGCATCGTTTGAGCCAAGTTGACAGCCCTGGTCTTGATGTTGTGACACAAATGGAGAGATCAACACTTTTACTCCACCTTTGAAGACGGATATTTGTGGCAGCAGTACACTTGGTCTGCCGAGGGCGACCGCTATTTGAAAAGAGTTGCTATGATGCACGATCATTCTTGGCTATGATGCTACTGGGATGAGAAATATAACCGTGGATCTCTCGAGTAGCAGTAAGTAAGCACTCTGCGGCAAAGAGCTTTACTCAAAACTGAAAATGTCAGAAAAAATGCCAAATAGTAGTATTAAAAAAGTTAAAATAAGGCCAATTTTTCACCGATTCTTATTTGTTTTATTTTTCATCTAATAAAACTTTGTACTTGTTTTACTATTTTCTAAATAAAAGCTATCTTTACTGTTTTATTATAATTTTTGGTCATGACATCATTCCAACATAAAAGCTGTGACAGACGGCAAAGCTTATGCATATAATCTGGCATACATATGCGCATAATAATTTTGACCTCACAGACGGCAGTTATGCGGATAAACGAGCCGCAAGGTCGTGGGTTCGAGTCCCACGGCCAATTAAATTTTAATTTTTTCTTAATTATTATTTTTTCATTCTTTTTTTATAAGTTCTATATTTTTTTTACGTTGCTTTCAGTTAGTTGTTGTTGACTTTTTATTAAAACTCAACTCTAAAAATTTAAATTAACTGATAGTAAAATAAAAAAAGTGATATAAAATAAAGCAAATGAAAACAAAATAAAGTAACATTAAATATATAGATCAAATAAAATAAAAAATATATAAAATAAATAAAAACAAAAAAAAAATTCGCAATCGCTCCAACCGAGGATCGAACCTGGCAGCTGCAGGCTTGTATCCCGTAACTCTTACCACTCGGCTACTGCGGACGCGGAACACGCGCGCTTTGTTTGCTTACTTGTAGAAAAGACAACAGCTGACCAGTGTTGTCAACGAAAACTGCCCGGATCCGAGTTAATTCCCAAAAATTTCGTGCATTTGTTCGGCTGTTTATGCGCATATTAAAGAGGAAAATGCATGAGTCAAAGCAAATAAAGGCTGGTTATGCAAATAATCGAGCCCGTTTGTCTACCGTATAAGTCCGTATGAAAGTTGTGCAAAATAAAAACGGTTTGTCCCGTCGTTTCTAAACTTCAATGTCGGGAACCTGCGAATAATCGAACACCTCGTATATATGTGCATACACATATAGCAAATGATTGCTGTTTTTGTTGTTCGGACTCCATAGATTTCGGTAGAATTTTCGGAGTTATTTATGGCATATCTTGTCTCGCTACAGGCTATTCGAAAACTCGCTGTTCGTGTCGAGTAATTCGAAATTGCACAGTGAAAAATATGTATGTTGAAAATGGACTCGCTGCATGGCGCTGGAATGGCGGAGCCATATTGGGTCTACGATTTATCACAGAAAGATAATATTGAACGTACGTACATGGCGTATGAGTAACATTCTCATCTCGTCCGGGTAACTCATGCGCCATGTACGTACGTACGTTCGATTTTAACTTTTCCGTGCTAAATGGTAGATCTAATATGAATCGGACATTTTGAATTTTTAAAATCTGATTTCATACTCAAAATCAGCGTTCGTAAGAAGCCCCCATTGAATTTTTACATTCTGACTTCAGATTCGTAGTCAGCGACCCAGACAACCCTGATTAATGAATTGTAAGTGAATCTGATAATTTTTTTTAAAAATATTCCGCCATATTGGATCCACTACTTTGAATATCGAAATTCTGACACTATATTCGGCGAACATAAAAGCATTAGTCTTGGCCTAATAGTTGACAATTGACAAAATTACTTACGTATTTACGGGCATGACGTGTTCTAAGGAACGCAGCAATTAATTTCCAATTATGCCACGTTTTATTTGATGCATTATACATTTAAAAGTCTTTTTACATGCTTTACGTTCATTTCTATAGCATACACTGTGAGAAAGAACCCGTTGTAATATTAAGAATAATGAAATATGTATTCACTGAGGGAAATAACGCATAATAAAAATGAATAATTCTTTATTTGATTATCGTTTTAAAATGCTCGTATTTAAAAGTAATACTTTCGTATAACGAACGCGTGCTGCGGTGTGGATTTAAGCTCAACATTTGAAAGCACATCTATATGTCTGGCTGCAGCTGAGTGCGCAAAGATGCTGGCCACAATTTGTTGATTTCCAGAGGCTCAGCAGGGTTCAAATCACATAGCAGGCAGCATCGGAAGACATTTTTTTTTAATCTTAATTATGAAAAATTGTCTGTGAAGTGCAAAACGCTTCATTTTGATATGAGTGTATTTGAAGTGAATAATTCCATACTAAATACTAAAATTTGTTTACTAAAACTTATAACGAGTTGGGTTGGTTCTCTTTCCCGTGCTTTCTTTATAACTTAAGCACGTTTTATTTTAATTCTAAAATTTTTTCTCTCAGTTTAGAATTTTGGGCAGAGCTTTGGTCCGTTTGACTTCGAACGTCCCATATATAATATGGACATACATAGATTACTAAAAGTTAACCAAATCCACATTAACTGCATTCAACATGTGGGCGTGTCCATCATGTCGAACGTGATCATCGTACCCATTCAAACAGAAAAAAACCGTAATATGAAACGTTTTTTATTTTGACAATAGGATTAGCTTATGGCTCTTATTTACCACATTATTTGGTGCTAAAGTTGATTTTGAGCAAGTTTACGTTTTAAAAATGATTGCAAAAAACCATGGTATTCGCACGGGACAAACACAGAAGTGGATCTCGCGGCCAACAAGTCATGCGCCGATTTCAGCGAAACCTGTGAAAATATTTCATTGCGAATAAATCTAGAAGGTTGTGCATTGATGTCTCTTAAAAATGGTTTTGATTTTACCGAAATGTTTTTTTTTTTAATTTAATTTTCATCTCTGTCGCACGTAACATGTCCCACAGGAATTTTTTTCCATTTGATATTTTTGTTAAAATTGCTTTTAAAAGAATTTTCATCGCAACATGAATTGCATGTCGAATATGCTTTATATTTAGACCTAAGCACCAATTCAGCGTAATTTTTTTTTGGAAAACTATGACTTATTATGTTTCTACTACATACGCCAAGTTTGTACCAAATAGGACCATAAATACGTCCCTGGCTCCATCTGGCGAGATAATTTTTCGCAACGCGCATACATATGTTTTTGATCTCCTTTTGTCACTGCCAGGTAACTAATGGCAACAGTTTTTGTAGAAACGAAAACGCCATAACTGTTCTTGCGCATGCGTGTATTTGCAGAATTAGTAGAAGTGATTTTGAATGAAAGCTCATTTATGTATACCCATACGTATCTTTTAATGAAATTAACATACTTAAAAGATTCAACCAATACTTCCCATATACCAAACGCAAATAAATCCATAACTTGAATTTTTGATTAAAGAAAACAAAAGCAAAACCATAAAAAAAATTACGTAAATAAAACATCCTTAAAATGCTAAGGTTTTCGAGAATTTATATTAAATTTGGCGCAATAACATTTGTATTGCTCTAACGAACTTAATAATAATTGAGATTTTTTCTTTGAAACGATGCATTTTTCTTGGAAATCGCTTCATTACTTCTCGTGCCGTAAGCGTTTTCTACGTCAAAGGAGGTAAGTGGCAGCCGATACAGTTGCTCTTTTTCATCAGAGCTATTAAAACTTGGAATTCCAATCATAACAAGAGGCAGTTTTAACAAAAGTAGTTAAAAAAAAATATTATATTCTCATTTCTGCAATTAACTGGAGCGACCGTCAACATTAGTTTAAGGCTTTATATTTTATATTTTATATTTTGTTTTAATTTGGTAATAGTTTGTGTGTTATTAATTTCAATTAATGCAAATTTTGTTGTGCTAAAATAGGAAGACAATTCTTATTTTACTAATGGTTCTTGTTTAATAATAATATGGTTCCCGCCCTGACACTAAAGATGGCAAAACACCGAACCGGTTT